GCCCGCTGGCGCGACCTTCGACGCAGCACAACATGCCTCGCCCCATCGACCAGACGGTCAACGCGGCTGCGGGGTGCTGGAATCTACGACCTGTGTCGCCAAGCTGCAGACGAGCCGACATCGGCGACGAAAGCTGCTGCGTTCCCGGCCCAGCATGTCGCGAAGAACGGTGCGTGCATGCGCTGCAGCGATTCGGACGCGGGGAGGGGCAGGTTTCACTGTGATGCAGTGTTGCAAAGCGTAGAATTCTTGTCGGATAACTTAAATGGACGTACGTGCGACGAATATTCTATGGGAAAATATGTGACAAGCAAAATTTCGGTGTGCCATTGTTTTTACATTAAGAAGTAAAGACATAACTGGGACTAAACTGGTATCGTCAAATTCTTCACCTGAATAAAGATTGTTTCTCAACGTAGGTTAAAAATCCGAAAACAACCGGGACGAATTTTGATGTTGTGTTCCTGCAGTTAATTGCTTGCTATCTGGGACTATGTACTGGAGTCACGAGTGGTATGTTCACATCGAAACAATTATAGTAAAATAAGAAGCATTAATGCAGCAATTTAACCATAAAAACGCTGAACAGATATTACTTATATTTTGTGAAAAGTGTGAAATATTTTTTTTATTTGTTAATATTTACGGACGTAATCATTTTTAAACATAGCAAGAGGGGTGTGTGCAGCAGATGACGGCGAGATATAGGGATAACGGAAAGGAGTGGCAGGTTTTGCTGTGTTGCAGTGTTGCATATACGTAGATAATAATATATATTCGTGTAGCATTGGTCGATATTGAAATGGCGTTGAATTTTCACCTGCACCACAGTATAGCAGTTTCTAGCTTTAGTTTAGCAATAGCAAGGAGATGTGCAGGAATCAGTGCAGGTGAAGAGGCAGGTTCTCACTGCTGATGCAGTGTAAGCATAGCATAGTGTAACATAGGAGCGACAGGGCGTTTAGGCAATGTCAAAAAACGGTGCTCAAGTCTCACCACGGCACATCACTAGTGTAGCATAACATAGTCTTATAGCCATTGGCATAGCAATAGCAGAATGCAATCGAAAAACTTGACGAAGCGACCGTTCTACGAAACATTTGACGCGCGGTTTAAAAAACTCATCTCGTCGACTCTCCTACATACGCGAGCATCTGCCCGCTGGTTACGTTACCGCTGCCTTGGCACGCAGTAGAGCTGCTCGACTGGAAGGTTGGCTGCAGGCGCAGTACATCCTCCACACTACCACCAACACCGATGCGTACGGTATCGCGGCGCGCCCACCCACGCGGACCTGTGTGATTTTATTTTCGTTATCTAAGTTTCTCCAGTCTACTCTGGGCCTACCCTGTCTACCTCTGGCTACCTTCGACTACCTCTGGCCTACCCTGTCTATACCTCTGGCCTACCTCTGACTACCTTCTGCTGACTGATTGCAGCCAAGTGTTGCAGTGGAGGCGAATCGACCCAAAACCCTCTTCACTCAAGCCCTGCCTTTCAGTCGTATTCCTCTGGCCTACTCGACTATCTCTAGCCACCTTTCAGTCTCACCTCTGGCCTACCTCTGACTATCCCTAGCCACCTTTCAGTCTCACCTCTGGCCTACTTCTGACTATCCCTAGCACCTTTCAGTCTCACCTTCTGGCCTACCCTGACTATCCACTAGCCCCACCTTTCAGTAGTTGGCCTACCTACATCCCTAGCACGTTTCAGCCCTCTGGCCAGACTATCCCTAGAGCCACCTTTCAGTCTCACTCTGGCCTTCTCTGACTATCCCTACCACCTTTTCAGTCCTCACCTCTGGGCCTCCTCTGACTATCCCTAGCCACTCTTTCAGTCTCACCTCTGGCCTACTCTGCATCCTTGCCTCAGTTCACCGGCCTATCTGACATCCTCATTCAGTCTAACCTCTGGCCTCCTGACTACCTCTGCCCATTCCTACTACGCGTTTAGTCTGAATCTCTAGCCTTACCCTGACTGACGCATCTCGTGCATGACATCATTGCAGGCTAAGTGTGGCTGTGGAGCGCGCGATCTACCTGCGTGAGTCTGGCGCGCGGGGTGGGGAGAAGCTGAAGTGCCGTGCGCGACTTGAACAACACGCGATGCTTGCTGGCACGGCACGCCCGTCGGCTAACATGCTGAGCGTGCTCAAACGCCGGCGCTGCTCATAAGCGCCACCTGGCGCCGCCATCTCGGACACCTGTTCGGAAAAGGATGCGTATGCGTGTGTGTGTGCTGTGGTGAGGTGGGGGTGGGGGGGGGGTTATTGCTGTGTTGTAAGTTCCGGTGTGTCCTGGCTCGCTCGTTTTGGCTGTCTGGCTTTCTGGATTGTGTGATTGCATCTGTGCTGAATGCTTTGGTGTCTGCCTGCCATTGCCTGCCCTGCTTGTGATATCTGCTCCATCTGCCTACCTGTTGCTTCATGCCTGCCTTGAGCTGCCTGGGCCTGCCTAATGGCCTACCTGGCTTGCCTAACTATGTGCCTGCCTCAGCCAATTTGCCGCTTACCAGCCCACAAAAACAGCCCGCCTTGACGACCTACATACCAACTTCTACTTGTTTGCTGCCATGCTCAGTATTCTCAGTCCATTCATTTACCGGGCCAGTTCGCTTGCCACCCAATGCAACTTCCTCGCAACTTGGGCAACGTCCTCCTTGGTTGGTTATTGTCTCTGCAACTGTCCTGCGTCCAATTTGCGAACGCACGTTGGCCTTGAACAGCTGCTCGTTCTCAGCTCGTGGCCAGAGTGACGTCGTTTCAGGTCAGTATTGCGCCTCGTCGTTGGCTGCTTGCAGGGTGTATAATTCGTCACGTCGCCTCAGGCGCGCTTACATGAGTATATATGTAATATATGGTTGCAGGGCATATATTCGGCGGACGTGGTATATATGATTGTATGACTTGCAGGGCATATATTCGGCGGCACGTGGTATATGATGCAATATGTGGCTTGCAGCGGCATATTATTGCGGCGGACGTGGGTATTATATGAATATGTGCTTGCAGGGCATTATATCGGCGACGTGGCCGTAATCATGAATATATGCCTTGCCAGGGCATATATGGCGGCAGACGTGGTATATATGAATATGTGCTTTGCAGGCATATACTTCGGCGGACGTGACGGTATCATATGAATATAATGGTATTGCAGGGCATATATTCGACAGACGGGGGGTAATATGAATATATGCTTGCAGGCATATTATTCGACAGACGTGGCGGTAAGATATGAATATATGCTTGCAGGGCATATATTCGGCGACGTGGTATATTATGAATGTATGCTTGCGGACATATATTCGGCGGACGGCGTATATATGAATCTATGCTTGCCAGGGCATATATTCGGCGGACGCGGGTATATATGATATATGGTTTGCAGGGCATATATTCGGCAGACGTGGGTATTATATGAATATGTGGCATTGCAGGGCATATGTTTCGGCGGACGTGAGGGCGCGGTAATATATGAATAGTTATGCTTCCCAGGCATATATTCGGCGGACGTGGGAATATATATGAATATGTGCTTGCAGGGCATATATTCGGCGGACGTGGGCTATATCATGAATATGTGCCTTCAGCGGCATACTATTCGGCGACGTGCGTATATATGAATATATGGTTGCAGGGCATATATTCGACAGACGTGAGGTTAGATTGAATATATGCTTGCCCAGGGGGCATATATTCGGACAGACGTGGGTAAATATGAATATATGCTTGCAGGGCGTATAGTCGACAGACGTGGTATATATGAAGATATGTGCTTGCAGGGCATATATTCGGCGGACGTGGGTATATATGAATATATGGTTGCAGGCATATATTCGACAGACGTGGGGTAGAATATGGCAATATATGCTTGCAGGGCATATATTCGGCAGACGTGGGTATATATGAATATGTGCTGCAGGGCCATTATATTCGGCTGACGTGGCGTATATATGAATATATGGTTGCAGGCATTTATATTCGACAGACGTGGGGTAGATTATGATATATGTCTTGCAGCGGCATATATTTCGACAGACCGTGGGGTAATATGAAGTATATGCCTTGCAGGTGGCCGTAATATTCGACAGACGTGGCTAAATATGAAGTGTATGCCTTGCAGGCATATATTCGGTGGACGTGCGTGGTATATATGAATGTAGCTTGAGGGCATTATATTCGTGGACGTTGGCGGGTAATATGAGATGTAATCGGTTGCAGGGCATATATTTCGGCGACGTGGCGTATATATGAATATAGTGCATGCAGGGCATATATTCGGCGGAGCATGGGTATATAGTCGAAATATTTATTGGCGGGGGCTTGCAGCGGCATATATGCGGCGGACGTGGTATAGTATGAATATATGGTTGCAGGGATATACTTCGCAGATGTGGAATATATGAATATACGCTTGCAGGTGCATGGCATATATTCGGCGGACGCTGGGTATATATAATGTATGCTTGCCAGCGCGCATTATATTTCGGCAAGACGTGGGTATATATTAATGTATCGCTTGCAGGGCTAATATCGGCGGACGTGGGGGTATATATGAATGTAGCTTGCAGGCGCATATATTCGGCGGACGTGGGTATATATGGAATATTATGCTTGCAGGGGCATATATCGGCGGGACTGGGTATTATGAATACTATGGTTAGCAGGCGCATATATTCGGCGGACGTGGGCTTATATGAGAATGTGCTTGCAGGGCATATATTCGGCGGACGGTGGCTATAATATTAATGTATGCTTGCAGGGCATATATTCGGCGGACGTGTGTATATATGAATGTATGCTTTGCAGGCATATATTTCGACAGACGTGCGATATATGAATATATGCCTTGCCCGGGCATATATTCGGCAGGATGTGGTATTATATTGAAATATACGCTTGCAGTTGCATGCATCTATTCGGCGGCGTGCGCGGTTATATATGAATGTATGCTTGCAGGGCATCATATTCGGACAGACGTGGTATATATGAAATCTATGCTTTGCCAGGCATATATTCGCGGGACATGGGTATATTGAATGTGATGCTTGCAGAGCATATATTCGGCGCGACCGTTGTATATATGAATGTATGCTTAGCAGGATATATTCGACAACGTGGTATATATGAATCATCATGCCTTTCCGGGCATATATTCGGCCAGATGTGGATATATGAATATACGCTTTGCCAGTATGGAATATATTCGGCGGACTGGCGGTATATATGAATGTATGCTTGCAGGCAATATTCGGCAGACTTGGCGTATCAATATGAATGTATGCTTGCAGGGCATATATTCGCGCGGACGTCGGCGTATATATGAATGTATGCCGTTTGCAGGGCATATATTCGGCGGACGGGGTATATATGAATATATGCTTGCGAGGGCATATATTCGGCCGGCGGCGGACGTGCGCGTATATATGAATATATGCTTGCAGGGCATATATTCGCGCCGGACGTGGCGTATAGATGAATATATGGTTGCAGAGCGGCATATATTCGGCCAGACGTGGGGTATAATATGAAATATGTGCCTTGCAGGGCTATATCGGCGACGGAGGTATATATGAAATATAATGCTTGCAGGGCATATATTCGGCGGACGTGGGAGGTATCATATGAATGTATGCTTGCAGGCATATATTCGACAGACGGGATATATCGAATATGTGCTTGCAGGCATATATTCGACAAGACTGGTATATATGAATATGTCTTGCAGGCCAGTATATTGCGGCCAGACGTGGCTATATGAATATATGGTTGCAAGCGGCATGTATTCGGCGGACGTGGCCGTATATATATGAATATGTCTTGCAGGCGCTGATATTCGGCAGAGTGGGATATGATGAATATATGCTTGCAGGCATATATTCGGCGGACGTGGGTATATATGAATATATGCGGCAGGCGGCACTTATATTCGACAGAACGGTGGGTATATATGAATTGTGCTATGCAGGGCATATATCGGACATAACGAGTGGGTATATATGAATATATGCTTGCAGGGATATATTCGGCGGACGTGGGTATATGACATATATGCTTGCAGAGCATATATTCGACAGACTGTGGGTATATATAATATGTGCTTGCAGGCCATATAGTTCGGCGGACGTGGTATATATGAAATATATGCTTGCAGGGCATTATATCGCTGCGACCGTGGGTATATATGAATATAGCATGACCAGGGCATTATTCGAGCCGGAACCGTGCGGTATTATGAACTATATGCTTTGCAGGCTCTATTCGGCGGAGTGCGGTATATATGAATATATGGTTGCAGGTCATATATTCGGCGGACGTGGTATATATGAATCGTATGCTAGCAGGGATATATTCGCGCGGACGGGAGGTTATATGAATATATGCTTGCACGGGCATATTATTCGGCGGACGTGGGCCCGTAATATCATAATATTGCATGAGGCATATATTCGGCGGCGTGCGCGAGTATATATGAATATATGGCTTGCAGGCCATATATTCGGCGGACATGGGTATATCATGAATATATGCTCGCAGGGATATATTCGCGCAGATGTGCGCGTATTATAGGAATAACTATGCTTGCAGGGCATATATTCGGCGACCGGGGCTATATATGAATATATGTGCAGAGTCATATATTCGCACAGCGTGCGTATATATGAAATTGTGCCTGCAGGGCATATATTCCAGCGGACGTGGGTATATATGAATATATGCTTGCCAGAGCATATATCCCGGCCAGATCGTGGTATATATGAATGCTATGCTTGCAGGCCATATATTCGCGCTGGACGTGGGTATATATGAATATAACTTGCCGCGGCATATATTGCAGCGGACGTGGGTATATGATGAAGATATGCTTGCAAGAAGCATATATTCGGCAGATGTGACGGTATATGATTGAATAGACGCTGCGAGTTTGCAGGGCATATATTCGGCGGGACGTTGTAGATATGAATATATGGCTTGCAGAGCATATTATTCGGGCAGGATTGGTCATATATGATATCCGCTGCGCAGTTGCAGGCGCATATATTCAGCGGACGGCTGGGTATATAATGCAATATATGTCTTGCCAGGGCATATATTCGTGCGCGACGGGGATGGGTATATATGAATGTATGCTTGCAGGGCATATATTCGGCGGACGTGGATATATATGAATGTATGCTTGCAGGGCATATATTCGGCGGACGTGGATATATATGAATGTATGCTTGCAGGGCATATATTCGGCGGACGTGGATATATATGAATGTATGCTTGCAGGGCATATATTCAGCCAACGTGTGTATATATGAATATGTGCTTGCAGGGCATATATTCGGCGGACATGGCGATGAAGAGCAGCTACTACGCGAGGAACGACCCCGCAGTCACGAAGAAGAAGTTCCTGCTCCTCTGCCAGGTCAGTCTGCGGATGTTGCTGAGCCCACGGCGGGGCGAAAAACTGAACTTTTACACATCATGGTAGTCACGCGGGGAGCCGCCGTTGTCAGAAACATCGTAATGCTAGTGTTAATGCTAAGATTGGCACTTACGACTAATGTTAATGTTACGAGAATAGCGTTGACAAAAACGCATCGCAGCTATGAGAAAACTTATGATAACAGGAACTTGATAACTTGATAGGTTTTCGTTGAGCCCACGGCAGGGTGCAAAACTAACTATTTTGTTTGGTAGTCAAACGGACTACTTGGTGGTGGACAACTCCGTGGGGTTTGACAAAATGAGTAGAGTCCCTTTTATGTCATAGCATACGCAACAAACATGGCTGCGTCCATGTTGTAGATCAACGTGCGAGATAAACGAATACTAGATTTTAAGTATATTTCATAATTAGTGGTTTAATTATTTTTAATGAAGTTATAACAACTTGCAGGCAAGAGAAATAATTTAAATAGTTATTTTATTCGTCCGTGTTACTGTTAGTCAAAAACGGACAGAAGCTAATTTAAGTTGACGCTGACAGTCAGGTAGTCCACCGGACTAGTTGTTACTGCAAGTTACTTATACATCAGTAAACCTGGTAGTTTTGGACTAACGGACTACCGTTAATTTTCGGCGTTATTCCTCAGCGGGAACCTAAGGGAGACTAGCTAAACCTTCTATACCCCCCCCCCTCCAAAAAGATTAAGATTTTATGATTGCACACAAGGTTTGTAGTTGAAACTATACCCTGTAGAGCTTTTCCTTGACGTGATCTCTAAGGTTACAGATTTTATCGATGGTATGATTACGCACAAGGTTTGTAGTTGAAACTATGCCCGGTAGCACCGACCTTAACGCGACCTCTAACCGTCGACGGCTTGCTAGGTGGCGCTCGGGCAGGTCGACGTGATCGACCACGAGCCACGTGACAGCCTGCCCGACGGCCCGCGACCCGGCTTCAACAGCCTGCAGGGAGCCGGACAGAACTACCCTGACCCTACCCGCGACGTGACACTACCTACAGGTGAGTTGAGTATAATATGTGAGAAGTTTAGTCCGATTTGATTAGATTGTGCAATGAACTAAAACTGTATGAAATAAAGCGAAGAAATCATAATACAATAAATCAAACCCGTAACCCAAAATTGAGCTCATATCAATGCAGGCTTGTATTATTGCCGAATTGAGTTCGTTAATCAAATAAATTAACATCTCGGCTTGACTGCCGGAGTGAAGTCGATCCAAGGTTTCCGACACAGCTTCAGCGCCTGTTAGTAGTCACTGTCAACATTGTGTTTACGTCTTGCGTTGCGACTCTCCACTCGCAGGCGCAACGATGCCGCTGGGACTACCCGTCAAGGCGTCCAAGTACGACTGGGGCCTGCTGCAGTACAACGAGATGATTGTGTTCAACGAGGACCAAGTGTGCCAGCGCTACATCGTCCAGTACTCAGACGCCTAGAGCCGCTAGCACGTGCGATCGAGCGAGCGAGCGCGACAGAGAGAGAGAGAGAGAGAGAGAGAGAAAGAGAGATAGAGAGAGATGGCAATCAAACGTAGCAGTAGCGCTAGTGTCTGCAATACTCCCTCCACATACATACACACATACGTACTCACGACCCCCCGGGCCCTGGCTCGCTCAGTGGTTTACGCTCGGCCGAACCCTAACGTGCATCCACCTAGCTACAGGACGACAGCAGACTAAAGGCGGACACGGCCGATTCACAGAGCGCCCCCTGGAGGTTGTGAAGCGTACGCGGCCGATCCACAGAGCGCCCTCTGGAGGTTGTGAAGCGTACGCGGCCGATCCACAGAGCGCCCTCTGGAGGTTGTGAAACGTACGCGGCCGATCCACAGAGCGCCCTCTGGAGGTTGTGAAACCTACGTGGCCGATCCACAGAGCGCCCTCTGGAGGTTGTGAAGCGTACGCGGCCGATCCACGGAGCGCCCTCTGGAGGTTGTAAAGTGTACGCGGCCGATTCTAGGAGCGCCGTCTTCTCTGGAGGTTGTAAAGCATTTGCGGCCGACCCGTAGAGCGCCGTCACTCGGTCGTGTGTTTCGTCTCGTCGCTCGAGACAATCGGGGCGAACAAGAAGTTATTTTTTCGTCGTAATATAGAAATATAGAGCTGAGGAAGTGTCCCGTGTAGGAACTGTTGCGCTGGCACCCGTCTGAGTGTCGATGGTGGCTGGTGTTGATGCTGGGGGGTGGGGTGGGGGGGTAGTCTGTGTGAAAGTAACGACAATGCCTGCGACGATGACGATCGCCATGACAACAGTGACGCACGTACAGTCGTCAGATGGTTGTGACAGATGACGATGGCAGCAGTGATGAAAGCTGTGTTGGTTGCCATTCACAGTGATGATGGCATTGACAGTTATGATGATGATACCATTTACATTGACAGCGTGTTTAACAGCGATGATGACAATGACGCCGACAGTGATGATGACAATGGGGTTAATAGTGATGATGATGATGATGATGATGATGATGGAATTGATAATTATGAGAAATTAGAATATGATGGGGCGTTTCAATCCGATTTGAACGTTATACACATGTTATACCACAATAACATGTTTCTACAATGTAATATAGTCTTGTGACAGTTTAAATAGAAGTACACGATTTGTATTGACTACTTGCATGTGGTTTTGTGCGTGTTTCAACAAATATTTCAACAGTTTAGTGACGAAAGGTGATTTTTGAAACAAACAATAAGTTTAAAATGAGAGAATTTACCATTGGCACGCTTTATCCTCGATTATGGCATTTCAGCTGTCAAAATTAAAAAAAAAAAAATTCACTTATACCTTCTTTTAGATGTAGTTGATTATGTTTATAGTATATTGTTATGATTTAAAACCTGATCCTAAGTGGACATTCGTTCAGAATTCGCGAGAGGGACCAACTAGCTGTATGGCTGCTGCTCATTGCTGCGTGTACGTAATTGAAGTCGCTTAATTATGAAGAATAAGTTCGCTCGGTAGCAGCAGAGGTAAGTGCTGGTTGGCTTATTGTGCGTGTCACGTCACCAGGTTTGCAACTGGCTGTCGTGGGCGGTGTTAGCACTTGCCATGCCTGGGAGCTTGGGAACAGGGTGTCCGACGAGAAGAAGAATATAGTAGGAGGAAAACTTAGTTATTGCTCGTACGGCAGCAGGTAGATTTTACTGTTTTGTATCTACGTACACTATATATCACTCACCTTTCCCAGGATTCTACAGCATAATGGTATAGATCCATGATTTGCTACCGTAGCGCCCGCCGCACGTAGTGTTTGTTGGGGGAATTATCATGTAGCTGTAAGTTTCTTCACTGACTGTCTTGTGTCGCGATTTTGTTTCGTCGTTTTTTTCCGTCATTGTGTCACGTGCTAATTTGTAGTACGCTGTCTGTGAGCGTGGTACACGATGCAGTCTCGACTTGGTCGAACCGTATCCCGTACCGCGATCCAACGCTACCGTGTGGATCCGAATGTTGTGCGCATGTGTGTTCGTGTTCGTGTGCGTGTGAGACTCAGGGTGTGTGTGTGCGCGCGCGTGCGTGTGGGAGAGAGGGTGTGCGTGTGTGTGTGTGTGTTGTGCGCGCGCGCGCGTGTGTGCGTGTGCGTGTGCGTGTGCGTGTGCATGTGTGTGAGCGTGCATGCGTGTGTGTGCCTGTGCGCGCGTGCGTGTGCGACTGCGCGTGCAAGTTTGTGTGTGCGAGTGTGTGCGTACGTGTGGGCTCGTGCACGTGTGTGTTTGCATTCACAGCGTAGAGAGTTTACGACATTTTTTCACAATTCTTTTCAAAAGCCTCGCGTGTGTATTTTTGTTTAGAACTCAGCAGGTCATACAGAAATAGAACAACAGGTTATGAATCTGCCGTGTCTAATAATTTTAGTGTCGAAAGGTGTACCAGTGAGAACCAAATAAAATTTATTTGAAGTAAGATTTTGTGTTCTTTAACTTTCACGATCTTCGTGTATCTATGCGTCATAATTAATTAATTAGCTGATAGTTAAAAGGCGTTTCCACTCTAAACTTTTTAATTTCTTAATTATTAGGTTAGCTGACGAAGTCAGATGCAGCTTGTAGAATCGCATGATTGTCCGTCCGTCCGTCCGTCCGTCCGTCAACAGTTGGGCAAAATCTTAACCCGCTCGACGTACGGTCTTGATATTCGGGAACTCCGCGCTCGCTGGGGGGGGATGCCGCGCAAAGGACTCGGACGCATGTTCGCAATTTGGGGGTTAATGGGCTCAAAGTCAGAGCATGTGTCAATGCGGGGGGAATAGTTCCCCTTAGTCTTAACGGCCTATAGGAGGAAAATAGCGGAATGCGGCAGCAAATCTCAACGGCTTGATCTGAAACGGTCAGATATCAGACATTTTCTGGATGGACATGGTTCTAACGGACGAGTAGCAAACCTTTCTTGCTTTCAGCGTGACCTGTACCGTCTTTATCACTTTATTGTAAAGGACCATGAAATATCTACTTTTCCGCTGATGTGCCGAGCGGTCACAGTGTCTGATAACCTTTTCGACGCTTAAGAGGAGGTGTTAAACATGGATTTGTTGACTGGTGTAACGAAGGATCTGACTGCTTTGCATTAGAGCCCCCTCACCCTCTCCTCCGTTCCCCCCACCTCCCGCTCCATCGCCTCCCCCCGCCCCACCACCACTACGCCCGCGTTCGAGCGACATATCATGATAACATGTTAATATAGCGTGAGTCCATTAAAGATTACACAGCGGTAACCTTATTACTGTACTACCAGTAGGTAATAGCAAAGCCTGATTCAGGTAGTAGTTAGATCTTGTATCTAGATATATTCCTAGAATATATTTCTTCTGAGCGCGAAACGCCTACGGTGGCAGGAGGGCGCACTTGATTCGGTTGCTCGCATGAGTTTATAAATGAATACCTGGGCTACAGTACATCGTCAGTGAGCGCTGTCGATCTTCGGTCTCACATCGAGTAAAATACATAATAATATATACACCGATGATCTTCATGCAGTGTCTATCACTTAGGAGACTTTTTCTTTAGCTTACCTGAATTACACCCAATATACGGCCAATAAGCAGTATTTACTGAAAATCATATATTTTAATAGTTAGCGCACACTCGTACCATATAGTAAGCTTGACGCATTCAAAATAGATCCCGACGTCTCACTTTTGTGATCTGGTGTTTCTCCGTAAATGTTTAACAATTAAGCGCCAATAGATGGCGGTTGTGTGACAGGGCCGTGACCTCTGGTGGAGGCGACCGTGTGCTAGGATTTTCAAATAAAATAAAATATAGGCTAATCAGTGGCGTATTGAATCCCAAAAATAATACAAGTGGCAAAATCATGCTAGTAGATATCTTTAGTCCGGCACTCAACGTAATCACACGTTGACTGGACCTGCGCCCCTCCCTCCCTCGTCATACCCACTGATCTATATCAAGAGTAGGCCTACATAATAGAGATCTATATTATATACTCTTGACCTATATATAACTCGGTGGTCATGAATTGGGCTGAGTGACGCGAAGATCTTTCTTTTCGGCGATGGTTTGGACACAGGCTACGGCAGTCATTCTTATTGTTTAATTTGGATTTAAAAGCATTCTGATATTGCGTTATTCTATACGCCGCGGTCACTGGTTACATGACAGGTCGACTGTTCGACTGGAATTTGGGTTCGCATCGTTTCTGCAGCGCGGATGGATTTTGAAACAGATGATCTGCAACCCACCTGAGATGATAAGCTTTCGCTGCTTGCGTTTGAAGCGCCCCCCCCCCCGAACCGCGCCAACGATTCCTGGATGAGTAAGTAGGCCTACTACTGCCTAATGACTGATGGTACCCGAACGACGTAGCCCTAAATTAACATTGCCTGACGCTCAATAGGGTCTATGTCCCCCAGGATCTATGCCCAGGTATGCGCGGAAGTGCCCTGGGTAACGGTCCGGTATAACCGGAACCGGTACCCTGGTAACTATTCTGATTAATGGTAGGGTTAGGTATGGGAGTAGGGTAGGTGATCCCTAGACTCGTTTAGTGGAGTAGGCGCAGGTACGGTCCGGCGATATTAGATGTACCAGGGCAAAGGCGTCGAAGCAATAAAATAGTGGCCGCGGCTTTCAGTGGCGTACGTAGGATTTTCGAAAAGGGGAGGTGTTGGAGGCAACCGAAGGGGCGGTCTGGAGCCCAGACATTATTTGAAATTAGCACCTCAGATGCGTTTTTATGGGCGCCGAGCATGGGGTCGGACCCCCTGGACCGCCCCCCCCTTGTACACGCGCCAGTGGAAACTGAGACTCTGATACGTGTGCGCTTGCTATGACGGGTGGGGTCCGGCGGGTCAGATTTCATGATTCATCAGCTCGTACACCAAAGATATTGTTGCGTAATCTTGTGTTGCGTACGCAATTCGACGTTTGCTTAGTTGCGGATTTATCAACGCAGTTATTAGGTAAATTTTCGTACGATTCCGCGTACGGCAAGCGAGGCGTTTTAGGTGCGATTCTAAGTCTAAAATTTACGTAAACCTTTGCGTAGGAGAGTGTGTAGTTCAGAGAGAGAGAGAGGTTTGCGTGCGTGTGTGTGTGTGTGTGTGTGAGAGAGAGGGGTGTACGTGTTTGTGTTGTTAATGTGACAGAGAGAGAGAGAGGAGAGAGAGAGAGAGAGAGAGAGAGAGAGAGAGAGAGAGGAGAGAGAGCGAGAGATATGGGAGCGGAGGGAGGAGGGAGGGAGGTGTGATTGAGGGAGAAGAGAAGATAATAGAAGAGAGAGAGAGAGACGCGAGAGATAGAGAGAGAGAGCGCGCGCGAGCGAGAGAGAGAGAGAGAGAGGGAGAGAGCGCGCGAGCGAGAGAGACAGCGAGAGAAGAGAGAGAGAGAGAGAGAGAGAAAGAGAGAGGAAAGAAGAGCAGAGAAAGAGAGAAACAGAGAAGTGTGTGCGCGCGCGGGCGTGTGTGTGAGAGAGAAGAGAGAGAGAGAGAGAGAGAGAGAGAGGAGAGAGGAGAGAGAGAGAGAGAGAGTCGTGGCGTGAATTGTGCTGTGTGATGTTGTTAGTGCAATCAAAGTACTTATCCATACATACGTCCTACAGACAGTCCGACAACGTGCATAGGCCTAACACTATCTATTATAAACTCGTTTATAAGCTAGAGTAGATGCAGTAGAAAATCGGTGAATTTCTGAATCTACGATGTAAACAAACTCAAGTCTGATGAAACATAAAACATAATGTGTTGGCGTGGCAATCCAATTCTTGCCCACTTACGACATCTGCAGAACTGTGTGGCAGCTTTCATTGAACTGTAGCACCTAAAACCCACGCTGATAAACGCTGTCTGGTAAATCGGGATCGCAGCTTACCTCTTGCTTCCTTACCTTGCTTAGTCTTTTTTCTCTCTTTTTTGAATTCCCAGGGGGGATATTTGTACAGCATTCGCCTCCTTCAGAGCAGGGGGATGCATCCCCCATGCCCCGGATTTACCCCGTGTTAGTGACTGCGGTGCGCTGGGCATGACGCTAGCTGCATAGCGTGTGAGGCGGGACGGGGGTGCTCGAGGGGGTGTCCCCCCCTCGAGTTTGAAAGAAAAATGCACAATAAACCGGCCTAAAATACCGCATTCGCTTTGCACATTTTCGTATTATATCATATTTTACTTGTTTGTTGTTTCATTAAATCATCATGATTTTGGCAGAAGAAAAATTTTGTCATCATACATTCCTTGGGTACTCACATCATTATTTGTAATAAGTCTGGGGACTGTAGTCCTCTTTGACAGTGATCCTTTCCACCCACCACCCCCACGATCCAGAATACGC